AACATAGCTAAAAGACAAGTGGAAAAGGTTCAATGGAAGGAAGGAAACAGATAAAAAACCAACTTGATTTAAAAAAACGTCCACTCTTAGTTTCAAATTTAAAAAATATATGACCTAAGCCCTTATTGCTATTTAAGAGGAACTTATGGCAGACACTTTTTTGATAACCTAACTTAATTTGAAAAATCTGCATTAATCAATAAATTTTTTAAATTCTCCTTTCAAAACCAGAAGTCCTTCATGTTTTTTGCGCCATTTCCAGTTTGCATTGGAAGAGTGAAAATTGCCTATTTTTCAGCAAATTAACTTAAATTGAACTCAAAAAACGAATATATCTCTAAGTGCAGTCATAGTTGCTTTAAAATTTTTGAATGAAAATCTAAAGTTATTGAAGCATTTGAAGAATTTTTCCTAGCCTATATAAGAAGACCTATATAAGAAGACCTTCTTCAAGACCTATTTAAGAATCTTACTTCATCATTGGACTCTTAAACAACCACAGCCAGGAAATTTGATATTGAAATTTTGATTACTATTTTTGAATGAGTTAATAATTAAACATTAATGCCAAACTGTGCACTGGATAGGAGCGCAATTTTTGCTGTATGTTCCAGGGTTCCAGAGACAAGTTTTTAAACATTTGAAAATTTTGTCGGAACGATCAAAGGAAAGTAAAGAACAAAAAAAGAACAAAGGGAGCGTCGTTGTTGCGGAATCCGCTGACAATGCACAAAATGAACAGTTTGGCCTCGTAATGAAACTGAAAAAACCTTTAGGCAATCCACTAAATTAAAATATTGCGAAAAAATTTAAGGAATTACTTTTTCACGTCTTTTAACTTTGTGAAAAGATGAAAATCAGCCCAGTTTTAGAAAAAATGGTTGTTTTGTTTTTATTATTTGATCGATTTTGGCATTTTGTTTTCATTGTTTCTAAATGGCAGTCGGAACATTCAAGACTTCGCCCTGATACAAGCAAGTAGTCTTGTTGATACTTACGAACTCAAATTTACCGTGTTTATATTCCATTTCTGTTGCCTTCAGCTTCAACGAGCTCAAAAACTTGCTTTCCTGATGACTCTGAAAATAAAAGATACATATTTCGCTAAATGGGCAAGGCAAATGGTTTTTTAACTTCGCGTAGCAAGAGAGCAGGAGACCAAAATGACTATCCGAATTATGACTAGTCCTAACTAGAAAGTAATTAGTTCGGATAGCGATTTAAGTCTTATTGTATTTATTGTATTTGTCTTATTTGTATTTTGGGGTTCTATATCCTGTTGGGGTTGTAAAAGTGAAGAAGTTTTAAAACACCTGGTTTTGAACTAGATTATGTATTTTATCATTGCAATAATGAAATACAAAATTAGTTTGAAAAACAGGTGTTTTCATACTTTTTCCCTTTTACTGCCTTAACAGGATACACAATTTACTGCTCGGGTGACAAAAAGAATTAGATAAAATGTATCAGTGACGAGTCAATTATTAGTCTTTGAGGATCTTTAGAAAATCCCACTTATCAAAAATCTACCAACATTTGAGGCAGTTTTATATGCATAAATTTATAGATAATTGTAAAACACTGTCATGTCAACAAACTTTAATAGCATCACGATCAAATGGAAATTACGACTGTGCATTAAAACAAATTTAAGAATCAATCAGTTAATGGTTACATTGTATAAGAGGTGAATATTGGACTCTCCGCCACTGCACATTGAAAAAGTTCGAGAAAAAATTCCACCCAGCAAAGTTTTGCAAACTGAGTTAGGACCGAAGTGTAACTCATAGAGTAATTTCGGATAGGGTACACCGTCTGCTCGTCACGCTATCTTATTTTCGGCCGGATAGATTCGTGCAACTTCTTAGTCTAATACCGATCCTAATCTTACTCTTATACTATCTAGTCTCAGGTTGTTTAACTAGTCTCTGCTAGGCTCAATAGATCTAGGGTATACTGGTTTATTGCGGCTGCTGAAGTGCTCGGGAGAGTCCAACTAATTTCTAAGTTAAATTCAAATCTCTCTGGTGCTGAAATTACAAGTAACTTCAGCACTTACAAATAAGTGGGTTGTTAGTTAGATGGATCATGATTGGTTAATATTAAATACTTTACATTGGTAAAACATTTAATTTATCCAATCATAAAATGTAGTTTAGATCAGGTTCCACCCATCCGGGTTTTACAGAGTTTTTTTAGAATAGTTCTTCTGCAATTCGAAGGATGGATGATGGACGTTTGTTTTTGGCGAACATCATAATTTTCTTCCGTTTCCTCTTTTGTTAGGGAAGTTCCAGGAAGCTGGAGTTAGAGACATAAGACGTTGTGTCTTCTAGTGACAACGACTACGTCTTTGCAACAAACTCAAATCTGATTTCAGAATGGTTTGCCATGTCAGGTTTTTCTGTTCTGCGTGGAGAACTTCTTTTGTGTATGATCTAGTTTGGGAATGGCGTGGAGATTGTGCGTGGAGGGGATGCCTGGTTACTCGGATCTGTACGTATACTTGAACATCGAGGTGGTCATTGGTCTAGTTCAATGAAGTCCTTTTCTGCGAGGTCAAGTCGTACTCTAAATCCTTTGAGTTGTGATTGTGAGCGGCATATCGATTGTAGTTGGTCATTCTCTCTCGAGTGTAGTGGGGTCGTCTTGTCTTTTGATGTTCGTCCTTGGTGTTGTATTCTGATCTATATATTGCATCATGTGATTTTACATTTTATAAAACTTTTATTAGTTTAATATTTTTTAATAATGATTTTAGTTAGTTGTTTTCACAAAAGCTTTTTGTTTTAGTTCGGTTATTTTGAAGAGTTACTCACACTTGAGTAGCTCTTATTAAAAATAGTGGTGTGGTCACAAAGCGTGGATGTAGCGCGGTGGGTTAGGCCGGCTATAGAGCATGCTCAGGACGTCCTTCCTGGTGGGTTAGGCCAGGAGTGGGAGTATGATTTCATGCGGTTTTTGTGAGGGGTCCTGTTATGTGACAACGTTTTATGTTGAGTTTGTTGTGGTCTTACTTATGTTTTGTTGGTTGTGTCCTTTTTTCAAAAATCAAATTGTTTGTGGTATGGGTTTGTCTTTCGACTTTTTTGTGTTTTATTATTTCTTTCTTAGACTTTATAATAGTCTTCAAAAGAATAAATTATCCAGTTTTAAACTGGGTTAATCCGGTTTGGGTACCGTTGGTTTCTTTTTCTAAGTCATGCTGTTATTCTATGATTTGTGGTATTTAGTAAGCTGCGTTGGTTAGTTTTGTTTAGTATATGATTCCTTTCCAACCGGGTTAAAGGAAAGTTTGAAACATGTTATTATATGTTAGAGTTGTTGAGTGTGAAAACTTGAAACTGAAATTCATTATTTTAAACAATTCTTCGTGGGCGAGCTGTGCGAGTGTGGATAGAATTTCTGTGCGAAAGAATGAAAATATCAAAAGGTTAGTACTGCATTTGCATTTATTTAATTTACTACATAGAATTTAGAAATTTACTGCTAGTCATGGGGGAATATTAAGATACAAATTTTCATCATAATTAGATTTACTGCTTGTGGGGGAAAATTTTAGAAATGAATTTACTGCATTGGTATTAAATTTATAAATTTATAAGTGTAAGAGATTAATAGAATTTTTAAAATCTGTTTGATGAAATTTGCGATT